CGTTCAACAGCGTAGTGTGTGATGTTTATATCACCCAGAACATCACACACTACCTCGGGCCGTCTTTCCTAACGCAAACCGACACAAGACCTGGTGAGGAGCATTTCACCATCACTCTCCTTCCTTGTCCGGTTCTGATGTGTGACCACATGTGCTGTAACCATGCCAGCTGCAATCAACACCCGGGAAGCGAAATGTCGTTTTTCATTTTTCTTGAGGGCTACACAATTCCAACATGCTGCTCTTTCTCTCAGTCTAGAAACTGCTCAAGGGTCCATCAGGTCAACTTCCATTCTCCCTGAAAGAATGCGTCGGCGTGATGAGCTTCTCCCTTCGAATGCTCCTGGAAACAAGAAGCTGTGCAGGCGGCTGGGGGACATGCTGGACAGCAGGTCAAATCAATATTCTCTGACATCCAAAACTTCACGTTTCAAACAGCTTCTTCCCGATGGCTATTAGGCTGCTTAACAAGTAATGCGCCATTAAAAATGTAGCATTGTGCTTTATGGCCTGTATCCCATTTAAATTGCACTTATTTGTCTATGTTTGTATTGCAGAGTATCAACTCGGCATATATTTAGGTTTTTTTGGTATATTGTGTATTCAGGTCCTGTAATTATATTCTGTATGTTACTGTTTTATGTCTGTAGCAAAGCTGTACCAACAACAATTTCCACCGTCCTCGGCCATGTGGCAGTGAAGATTCTATTCTGTTTCTCCTCCTGCGGCTGGGGTTCAGTCGTTAATCAAACCTGTGAAGTCAGCTTGGAGTCTTGCTCCTCTCATGGAAAAACACGTTGACACTAGCTGAGGGAGAGGGACGAAGGTGTCTGGTCATTGCTCAGGTGCTGATCTTATTTACACTATTTAACGAATTTGATGGTGGCTGCCTGCCTCACTGCAGAGCATCTCAGTCCCTTCCTTATACACCTTCTTTAGGAATTGCATCAATACACCCTGCCCACCTCATGAAAGGCGACGGCTAAGGCTACAAGGTTTAATTTCAAATGAGATAGTTGCAGTACCATTGCTCAGGTGCGCACATTCTCCTCTAATGCTGTGAAAATGGGGCAGCTTTATTGCTCTCAGTTGGGCCACACTATGGGAGGCTTTAAAAAAGATTCTGAAAATGAACCTCAAAATATATTAAAAATATACATATAAATAGAATTACATTTCCATATAGGGCCTGTATTTTGTTAAAAAATGGTCAAAGTCCAGGTGGAATCATGTGTATATGACATTCATAGTGCTAGGGTGGCTCTGTGGCTAAGGATCTGCACCTGTGGCTGGAAGGTTGCTGGTTCAAATCCTGCAGCTGGCAGAGAATTCCTACTCTGTTGGGCCCCTAAGCAAGGGCCTTAACCCCAGCTGCTCTAGGGGTCCTGTACAATGGCTGACCCTGCACTCTGACCCCAAGCTTCTCTCCCTGTCTGTGTGTCTCATGGAGAGCAAGCTGGGGTAGGTGAAAAGACGAATTCCTAATACAAGAAATTGTATAGGGGTAATAAGGTGATGTTATGTTAAAGGCAGAACATGAAATAGGGTGAAATACTACTACAATGTCTACAGATGCTCTTGCAGAAACTTGTTAAAAGAATAAATGTAGGAATCTAAGTGCTGTCTTTTGAATTATTTAAAATGTTGTCCTTCCTTCACCCAGCATTTCATTTTTGTGAATGAAATGTCATAGGATGTCATAAACTATCACTCTTTAAATTAGTCTCAGGAGTCACATTCTGCACAGCCACAGTGTGTGTAGGTACAGTACATTTGAGCGTATGTCTCTCCTGTAGGTCTTTCCCTGTAGACCTGTGTATTCCCTAACCATTAAATGTGTATTCCTTTACTGTAGGTACTGTAAATGTGTGTGTCTAAATGCATATTTCTAATGTTATGGTACAAATGAAGCTGGTTAAAAAGGAGAGTTTCAGTTCTTTCTAAAATGTGCACCACCATTTAATGCATAACCAGAATGCCAAGCCTTACAAAAAACAACCTGTGCCTTGTTTTGGTCTTTCTTTCCCCACTGGAAATAACATGACTCACACTTAGCTAAATGCAAATGAACGCTCGGCTATGGCTGACTTGTCTGTACCTGTCAGAGAAAGGCTGTGTGGTGAAGCCTCTGCTCAAAATTCACAATCACACTGGGGTGCTTTTTAATGCTAATGTGTGCTCAATGGCAGGAGCTACAGCAAAAGGAATTATCTCATAAACCCAGAAGACATTAGATGAATAGAAAAATGTTCTGCTATTTAACCAATAATCCATGGAAGTTACAAATAAGTGAATTGAACTCTGTCATTGGGGGTGCATTCCCTAAATGTTCCAATCAGCACTCTCCGGGAACAGGGAAATAAATCCCCTACTGCCGTCTGAAAACATTGGCAACTGTGCAGGCCTTTGTCACACAGAGCCATTGAAGGAAGCTTCCCCACTGAATTCTCCGGCTCAGCTCTGGGCTGAGTGTGTTGCATGGCTTCACCAGGTGACAAGACATGTCAAATTATTTATCTTCCTTACGCTTTCTAAATAAAAAGAAACAGAATGATTGGCACTGTGGATGATGAGCTATAATCCATCCTGTGGTCATTTCATGTACGTTTTCCCACAGTATGTTGTCTTGTCCTCCCTATAAACAGTGTTGCCCCTTTAGTGTTTATGCCTAGGATCTGAGACACTGTTGTAATAAAATATTGTTCTTTTAATATAATGTTTCTTTTAAATTGCCTGTTTGACCCGTTGCCTATTCAATGCAGCTCTGAGATCTTAACAATTTGGTAAGCACTCTGGCAAAGAATGATCAAATCTACAGTTAAATACAGTATGTTCAGAAAACAGCAGGATCTCAGGGCCCCTGTCATATCTCCTTTAAAAAGAACCACACATTTGACAAAAGCATCACCCTTTTGCCAAGACTTTTCATTCGTACTTTCATGTTCTCCACATTTTCATGCATTTCTACCTAATACAGTAATTCCTAAAAAAGCAATAGAATTATTAAGGTGTATGTGTTGTAATAGTGTGGGTTTGCATGGACTGCCTGAGCACCGGCAGAGCGCTTCTTTTCCTTAGCCAGGGAGCGAGCTGGGTGCCAGTGTGTAGTCGTATCATAAGGCAAGACTTCTTCGCTATACTGTATACCAAGAAGAGTCTTTCCGCTAAAGGGAAAATAATAATTTAGTAGCCGTTTCGTTAGAACGCTGGTTCAGAGCTTGAACCCCGACCATGAACTCGTGGGGATCTTCGATAGCAGACCTGATGAGCCTCAGGTGCTGTAGCTGCGCATTCCCACGCACCGCAGAGTAGAGAGAGCAGTGGGAGGTGTGCTCCACTGTCACAGTGTGTTATAAGCCAGTATGATCAGACATTTCCTGACAGCATGTAAAATAAAGAACTGTCTATGTCAATTAGTAGCACAAACCCAACAAGATACGTGCTAAATACTATCACAAAAGGCAGTGTAGTATCAGCTGGTGGAAGCCTTTGGATGGGCAGAATACTCACTTAGCTGTCACAGCGTCTATGAAAGGAACGGTTAATTTTACTTAATTGGTTAGGTCTGTAGATGCTCTCTGACTTCTTATGAAGACAGCAGCCAAATCTGTGTCAGTGAGACCTAGCCCAGGAGGTGAAGATGTCTGCTGTATTGGATTTTAAATTGTTATAGGCAATAGCTGTAATAAATGCTACTTGAGTGTCAGGCTAGACAGAAGTATTTCTGTGTGTTTGTACTCTGTTGATCTACAATAAACTCTGCTGAATACAATTGTGATGTTTTATGGAAGAATTCTTACAGAGCCCTGTTTACAATCCCACCACAGAGATTAGAGTCTAGTAAATTCCCATTTATGGTTACACAATTGCTCTAGAAGACAACAACCCCCTGCTGCACTGTCACTGTGGAGGAGTCCTGTAAGGTTATGCGAATGAGAACTCAAGACATATCTCTTTCAAAGGTGCATTTGTGTAATCAGAATGAGACTGGAAGAGGTGTTTGGGGTGTAAGACGTGTACCTTTCTAAATCCACCATGTCAGCCTGTCTGCTGAACACAAAAAGTCACTTTAGCACAGCTGAAACTGCAGAAATGTGAATGTTCTCAGTGTAACTGCAG